GCATGGACTCTGTGAAGTCTTGAGGTCTACTGAGAGCATGATAAATATGGTTGATAACAATATGCTATATTTTAAAAGTTGTGAGATAGTATACTTTAAGTGTTCTCAAAACAAAAATGATGAATATGTGTGATATAAAATGTTAATTGGTTTAATTTAGCCATGCCATTGTGAACATACTGTATTATGTATCATAATTGTACATGACTTTATTTATGAGCTAAATAAATGAATGAAAAAAAAAAAAGGAACGTGAGCAGGCATACAAGAAGAAATTCAGCAAACATAGAGGAAAACAAGAGATGCATCCCAAGCCACAGGAATCGTGTCTCTTAGCTGTGCCTATCAGAAGGTCTTCAATTCAGAACCCCAGGGTATGCTTTTGCTGTCATAAGCAAGCATCACGTGTCTAAGCTAACTGCTTGGTGACATTAGTGCAGTTGTACAACACATGTTTCAATAATTTTCCATTGCTTCTGTTTCATTGTCTTAATGGTGTGTGGACTGAGGGAGTCTCTTCTACATTTAGCATCAAGATTTTGAAGTTGATGACAGCTGAAACCAAGGGGGCAGGCCCTCCTACCAATCTGTCAACAGGATGAAATCTCTCTAATATTCCTGTTCATGTTTCTTGTGGGCCCAGTGAGAACTGTTAATCTGTATGATAACAGAATTACTAAAGGGTGAGTCACCACGAAGGGCTGTCCTGTACTCTGACAGTGTGAGATTTAGCATAAAACAAGAGCAGGGCATTCTTCCTAGAGCAGTCAGACCACCACCCTGCTTGCTGTTACAGAGTCAGTTGTGCAATTCTGGAATTTTATCAGTGGTGTGGACACCCACAGGACTTTCATTATGAGTACACTGACTTAGCCCCACAAAATGTGAGTGCTGCCACGCTTCTCTGTTCTATTGATCATTTCATGTCTACTTAGGGAGTTATCAGAAGACTCTGGTTGCTTCATACTCCTTGGCTGCTCAGCTGTAGGTCATGACCCAGATCATCTGTTCAGGCATGCAAAGCAAAGCGCTCACAGACAAGAGAAGGAAAGCCCAGGCTTGCTGCTGCTGCTGCAAAAAGCCTTGTTGCTGTCAAAGCTGAGCACACAATGTGAAACCAAAGGGTCCTTTTAATTTTTAAATGGTATCAGGCTTTCAATTAGTTTTCATTTCCATTCTCATACTGCCTTGAATGATAAAGACCCAAAGTATGTGGCTTATAAACAATGAACAAATCCTCAAAGACTGAGGTGGGTTAGTTTGGATTTTTGTTGGTTTTCTGTTTCACTTTTGTTATTGGCCTTTTTTCGTACCTTTTTTGGTTTTTTGAGACAGGGTCTCACTCTATAATTCAGGATGGTCTGGAACTCACTAGCCTTGAACTCATGCGGGGCCCTCAGTCTCATCCTCCCAAGTGCTTCGATTGTAGGCAGGATGGACAATGTCTGACTAAAGCCTTTTTTTCTTGCAGTTAGGGAAGGTGAGGCAGGGTCTCACTATGTAGCCTTGGATGGCCTGAAACTTGCTGTAAAGACTAGATTGGCCTCAAACTCATAGAGTTCTGCTTGCCTCTGCCTCTGTCTCCTTTTCTCCTTGCTTCTGCTCTATGGTGGGGTGATAGACTCTGCAAAAGTCTTAAAATATTGGTTGGTGCCAGGACTTGGTTTGTACAAAGTAATTGAGTGACAACATAAAGCAGTGCACCCCAAGTATTGAAAAATGCACTGATGCTCACAGTTCCTCTTGAAGAAAGAGTGCAGCATGCTACACAGGGACATGTTTGGGAAACCCTGAAGCGGATCAGGAGAAAGGAGTGGAGGTAAATAGAAGCATAGGCCACTGGCCTTTACTGGCAATGCAAGATAAACAGTTGCAGGTTGGCTAATTTGAAAGAGTCCAGTTTGTGTAAGGGCAGTGTCTACTATCTGGCCCTATGTCTAGCATCTGGCCTTGTGCTGACTTTAGATAGAGAAAACAGTGGCTTGGTGCAGGAGAATTAAACAAAGCAGGTTTTGAGGAGTATGTGAAAGACCTGTTTACCAAGAAGTTAATATTCCCATGTGAGTTAACTTGTTTTAGAAAGCCTGTCTTTTGTCAGAAAATTCTCCCCTCCACAAAGTGCTATAGCACCGTAACATATGAAAAAACTGGGTTGGAGAGATGGCTCAGAGGTTAAGAGCACTGCTTGCTTTTCCAGAAGTCTTGAGTTCAATTCCCAGCACCCACATGATGGCTCTCAACCATCTGTAATGAGATCTGGTGCCCTCTGTCTTGCATGCATGCATGCAGACAGAAACGCTGTATATATAATAAATAAGCCTTAAAAATTAAAGGGCCAATTGCCAGGGCCACAGGGGGACACCAATTGGCTCAGGCCCTGGGTGTCTTGTGGGGCACCATTGGTCTAGGCCACGGGCCACTTGGGGGTCCCTATCGGCCCTGACCCTGGCCTTGGACCTGGGCCAGCTGCTGAGGAACACAAACTGTCCCAGGCCCTGTGCCACAGTAGCCTATTGTCTCTGGCCCTGCCCTGGGCTACCCCGTGGGTTCCAATTGGCCCATGCCCTGGGCCACTCAGGGGACCCATTGGCCCAGGTCCTGGCCCAGGCCTGGGACAACGGGGGAGCCCATTGGCCCTGGCACCACTCGGGGAGCTCATATGGCCCTTGCCATGGCCCTGGGTCACTGGGGGAAACCCATTGGCCATAGCCCTGGATCTGGATCACTGGGGAAGCCTAAATTGGCCCAGGCCCTGGGCCAGTTGGGGGCCCGATTGTCCTGGTCTTGGCCTTGGCTTTGGTCCATTGGGGAGGTCCCCAATTGTCCCTGGGTTACTCAGAGGGGCTTAGTGGCCTGGCCCTGGACCACTGGTGGGGGGACTCAAATAGCCCAGGCCTTGGCACTCGTGGGGGGGCATTAGCTCTGGACTTTGGCCACTGGGGGAGCAATTGTCCCAATCCCTGGGTCACTCTGGGAGCCCCAGTGGCCCTGGCCCTGGCTCTGGTCCACTGGGCAGGGCCCCCATTGGCCCATGCCCTGGACCACTTGAGGGACCCAAATGGCCCAGGCCTAGTCCATTCAGGGGCCCCATTTGCCCTGGCCCTGGCCCTGCAACTGGAACACTGGGGGTGGGGGGACAGGCAATTGCCTAGCCCTTGGGCCACTCTGTGGCGCCATTGTCCCGGGCACTGGCCCTGGCCCTGGACCACTGCAGGGTCCCAATTGGGCCAAGTCCTGGGCCACTTGGGGGGGCACATTGGCTCTGGACCTAGCCCTGGGCCTGGACCACTGGGGGGGCACAATTAGACCAGTTCTTGGGCCACTCGGAGGCCTTAATAGTCTCTCTTCCTGGTTCAGGGCCATTGTGGGGGGCCCAATTGGCTTAGGCCTGGAGCCACTAGGGTAGCCCCTTGGCCCTGGCCCTGGCCCTAGGCCACTGGGGGGATATCCAATTGGATCAGGTCCTGGGCCACTCAGAGTGTCCCATTGTCCCTGGCACTGGACCTGGCCCTGGGCTAGGGGAAGGGGCCCCAATTGCCACAGGTTCTTTGCCACTGGGGGGGGGTGTCATTGGCCTTGGCCCATGCTCTTGCCCTGGGACACTGGGGGGCCCCATTTGGCACAGGCCCTGGGCCACTTGGGAAGCCCCATTGGCCCTGGCCTTGGGCAACTGGGGGGTACTCTATTGGCCTTGGTGCTGAGCCACTCCAGGGTGCCCAATTTGCCAAAGGCCTGGGCCATTCAGCTGCCCCATTGGCCCTGACACTGGGCCACTCACAGGGGTGGGGGGCAATAGCACAGGCTTCCCACGAGGTGGCTCCATTGTCCTGGGCCTGGCCCTGTGTCATTTTGTGTGTGTGTGTGTGGGGGGGGGGTCCTGGCCCTGTACACAGGGAAGGGGGCAATTGACCCAGGACCTGGGACACTTGGAGAGCCCCATTGTCTCTAGACCTGACCCTATCTCTAGGCCACTGAGTGAGGTCCCAATTG